CTTCTTGACAAAGGGATGTTCTTTGGTATGGAACCAACCAAAAATAAATCATGAAAGCCACTCCTGGTTAATTTTTAAACAGGGCAAGGGTTCACGCTTTCCTAGAAATCTTGCCTTTGAATTGAGAATTCCTCCCCCTACTTTCAGCTGATCTGGTGGTATATAGTTATCTGAATAACTGCTGGTTATTCAGATAAGATACCCTCTAGTCTATATTGTGGATTCATGTTTATGATTGGGGGACCTGACATTAACATAGCTTCCTGGGGTGGAATGCAAATGAAGCCTTGGCAGTATGAATGGAAGTGAGTAACCTGTAGAAATGTGGTGTGGAAAGATTATCTCTTTCTAGCTTCCCGCTCAGTAAGTGTTTTGGGGATGGAGTTGATGATTAGCTACAAAAGGAATAAGAGAAGTTTTCCTGCTCCCTCCCCTGCTAAAGTTGGTCTCTTCCTCCTCCTTCACCTTTGTGGTCAGGGCTGATCTAAAGAGATACCGGTCTTTAGAATATCTGGCTACACACAAATGCAATATGATAATTGGGTATCTCCAAAGGAAGGCTGAAGCTCACTTTCTAGATTGCTACCATAAATATATCTCCATGCCAAGCAACTGTTCGTACAATCAGGCCAGCAGCTTTTGCAGAACTTAAGTCAGGACTAGCCTCAGGTATCTAGCTGATTCTGATGCAAGTGCCCTCTAATCCACAAAGCTCAACAGGATGTTTGCGGCTTTCGCTATTACCTGTGCTCTAGTTAAGGACACGCACTGTAATAATAACAATTACTAAAATGCCCAGGTAGAGACAGGATTTTGAACGGTCAGGTGGCAGTATATCTGCCTGACTTTCCTTCTCTCCAGTTTCTGGGAGTAGTAGCCAGTAGTCAGTTTCTAGAAGGATCCGTGCTGGTTGTACAGCACCTGGTGGGTCAAAACAAGGACTTCCCCAAACCTCCCCCTCTTTCTTCTTAGGGGTAATTGTGGAGGGCGAAGAAGAGCCAGAAGTGTCTTGAGCTTCAGAGAAGGAAAATGCAGAGCAAAGTGCAGAGAAAATTAGAACTTCGCTTGCTACAGTTTCGTTTCGTTTTGTTTTAAGCCTGGCTTACTAGATGTTTCCAGTCTCTCCACATTTTGATGTCACTCAGTTTTAACGCTGTGTTCATTTGCATGCTATTGTATATGGATGTTTATATGCCAGCAAGAGCCTGAAAATGGGAGTGGGTGACATAAGCTTTTTAAAATTGTTTAAAACAGTATCCGTTGATGGGTTAACTCAAAAGCTAGCATCCAGCTTCCCTGAAAGAGGGTCGTGCACCTTGAAAATGGGTTCCAAAATCATCAGAACATCTATCATACTGGAAAGGGCCCCCTTTACCTTTCTTTTTGCTGGCTTTAACTCAGACCAGATCCCTCTCTCCCCTGTCAGCGCTTATCCCCCCCCATCCCCTTTGATCTATCCCATGTCATACTTTATGAATGATCTCACCAGCCCTGGATCCAGATGTTGGGAGCTCCCTCACTGACTCTGCATCTTCTCTAGCCCTCGTGGCCGGGGAGCCACTGCCCCTGAGCATGTGCGGTGTGCGGCCGAGTGCTTGACCGGTTCTGGCCAGAAAGCTTCCCGCCGCGAAGCGCGACTTGTGGCCCCGGCCTCTCACCCCTCCCTCCCCTCCCTCCCCAAGCGTCCGCGCTGTGCGGGAAAGCCACGGATTTTCGCCCAACCTAGCCGGGCTTGGGTGT